ACAATTTTTATTAAATATATATATTTATACTTAATTTAATTTAGCTTTATGATAAAAAATCCCTCGGAGTGCCTATATTCGGACCGATATTGGTCCGTATATACCCCTGAACAACAACTTTTTATTTTTTTTTGTTGTTTCATGCTTACGTCGTTCTACTCTCGTTTTAAATCGTAATATTCTGAATGTTTGCAAGCTAAAGTGGTTAACCTAAAAAAAAAAAAAATTTATTTGCTTATGACTCCAAAAGAGTATTATGTAACATTATCTCTAATAATCTTCAACTTATACGTTCGTGGTTTTGCAATAATATTACTCCGTACCATCGTAAGATAATTTCAGGTAGACAATCGATGGTTTTGTGGTTCCAAGGGACTGTAGGGTTGATGTACATGCAATTGGTTTTCGCAGGAATGGATTTAGGACACGAGAAGATGGTAATGTCCTTAACTGAAAAGAATAAAAATGTGCACTGGGAGAAGTTTTTGGATTTTTTCTAGTATATTCGGACCAAAATCGGTCTGAAAAATGAAAAGCATGGAAGCTTCTAGATTCTTTGCATACATTCAAACCAAAACCGGTCCGTATATATATTCATACTTAATTTAATTTAACTCTAAGATAAAAAAATCCCTTGAGTGCCTAAATTCAGAACGATACCCGTCCGTATATATCTATACGGACCTGGATCGGTCCGTATATGCCCCTGAACAACAGCTTTTTATTTTTATTTTTTTGTTATTTCATGCTTAAGTCGTTCTACTCTCGTTTTAAACCGTAACATTCCGAATATTTGCAAGCCAAAGTGGTTAACCTAAATAAAAAAAATTGATTTTATTTACTTATGACTCCGAAAGAGTATTACGTAACATTATCTCTAATAACCTTCAACTTATACGTTTGTGGTTTTGCAATCATATTACTCCGTACCATCGTAAGATAATTTCAGGTAGACAATCGATGGTTTTGTGGTTCCAAGGGATTGTAGGGTCGATATACATGCAATTGGTTTTCGCAAGAATGGATTTAGGACACGAGAAGATGGTAATGTCCTTAAATGAAAAGAATAAAAATGTGCATTGGGAGAAGTTTTTTGGATTTTTTCTAGTATATTCGGACCAAAATCAGTTTGAAAAATGAAAAGCATGGAAGGTTCTGGATTCTTTGCATATATTCAAACCAAAACCGGTCCGTATATATATTTACACTTAATTTAATTTAGCTCTAGGATAAAAAAATCCCTTGAGTGCCTAAATTCGAACCGATACCCGTCCGTATATATATATACGGATCGGGATCGGTCCATATATGTCCCTGAACAACAGCTTTTTATTTTTTTTGTTATTTCATGCTTAAGTCATTTTACTCTCGTTTTAAACCGTAACCTTCCGAATGTTTACAAGCCAAAGTGGTTAACTTAAATAAAAAAAATTAATTTTATTTGCTTATGACTCCGAAAGAGCATTATGTAACATTATCTCTAATAAGCTTCAACTTATACGTTCGTGGTTTTGCAAAGATATTACTCTGTACCATCGTAAGATAATTTCAAGTAGACAATCGATAGTTTTGTGGTTCTAAGGGACTATAGGGTCGATGTACATGCAATTGGTTTTTGAAGGAATGGATTTAGGACACGAGAAAATGGTAATGTCCTTAAATGAAAAGAATAAAAATGTGCACTGGGAGAAGTTTCTAGATTTTTTCTAGTATATTCGGACCAAAATCGGTCTAAAAAATGAAAAGCATGGAAGCTTCTGGATTCTTTGCATATATTTAGACCAAAACCGATCCGTATATATATTCATACTTAATTTAATTTAGCTCTGGGTAAAAAATCTCTCGGATTGCCTATATTCGGATCGATACCGATCCGTATATATGTATACGGACCGGGATCGGTCCGTATATTCCCCTGAACAACACTTTTTTTTTTTTTCGTTATTTCATGCTTAAGTTGTTCTACTCTCATTTTAAACCGTAACATTTCGAATGTTTGCAAGCCAAAGTGGTTAACCTTAAGAAAAAAAATGAATTTTATTTACTTATTACCCTGAAAGAGCATTACGTAACATTATCTCTAATAACCTGAAACTTATACATTCGTGGTTTTGCAACGATATTATTCAATACCATTATAAGATAATTTTAGGTAGACAATCGATGCTTTCGTGGTTCTAAGGAATTGTAGGGTCGATGTACATGCAATTAGTTTTCGTAGGAATGGATTGAGGACACAAGAAAATGGTGATGTCCTTAAATGAAAAGAATAAAAATGTGCTCTATGAATTTTTTCCCAATATTTTTGGACCAAAATCGGTCCGAATATATTAATTTATGTGCCAAATTTTTACCGTGAATTTGAATCTCTATGATTCTGCGCTAATTTATTTATATTCAAACCGATTTCGATCTGAATATTATTAATGCGCCAAAAATTTCCCTGAAAAAATTGAAATTTTCTGGTGTGGGGCGCCAATAAGGATTATACGGACCGTTTTCGGTCCATATAAGCCTTATGGTCCGTAATTAATTTATGCGCCAAATTTTTACCGTAAATTTGAGTCTTTGT